ACTTGCTGAGAATGCACTAAATTCCACTGTCTGTGTCACCAACAAAGATGTTAAACAGTGTTGGTCCCAACACCGACCCTTGAAGAACACCACTCATCACTGTTCTCTACTGGGACATCGAGCCATTGACTGCAACTCTTTGAGTGCAACCAGCCAGCCAATTCCTTATCTACTGCTGAATGGTCCTTCCATCAAATCCATGTCTCACCAATTTAGAGACAAGAATGTCATGGAGAACAGTGTCAAATGCTTTGCACAAGTCCAGATAGATGATATCAGTTGCTCTTCCCTTATCTATCAACACTGTAACCACATTGTAGAAGGCCACGAATTTTGTCAAGCACAATTTGCCCTTAGTGAAGCCATGCTGGCTGTCACCAATCACCTCTTTGTTTTCCATGTGCCCTAGCATAGTTTCCAGGAGGACCTGCTCCATAATCTTGCTGGGCACAGAGGTGAGACAGACTGTTTTTTCTTGTCCACATTCTTCTTCTTCAAGGACCTACAATACATTTAGAACACTATATTAATTTCTGCAGTACAGATGCCAGTTTTACTGGTCTTTGGTTCCTCAGATCTTTCCTGAAATCTTCTCTAAAAATGGTATCACTTTTCATTGTTGACAAAGCTGTTTCCTTTGAGAGGGTGGGTACTTGGTGCAGGTTAGTAGCTTGAGGCAGCACAGGGGAAGGAATGTACACCTAGGAATGGATAGAAACTCTGTAAACTGGCATAGCCACTGATAAGGTTTTTGGGACTCTGTTCTCAGTGTATTATTTACACTAGTTAATTAAACAGGGCCTGCAAATGTTAATAGAATTCAAGTTTTAAAGGTGCTGATCTAGTAAAGCACTACAATTATGAGCTCAACTAAAGCTGAAAAAAAGCCACTGGCTTTCTCTTCTGTATTGTGCTAGATCATGTTTCTTGCAAGTATCAATGATTCATTTATGGATCTTAGCCTTTTCAGCACCTTAGGCTTTGGCTTTACAGGGCAAATCTGTGATGACAAAATTGCCTTAAAGTTTCCATGCCTTGCCCACTATTCCTCCTTCCCAACACCTCACTACAATATATCACTTCTTCAATTGTACCAGAAGAAATATCTGTACATTTACATTCTAAATTGGATCAAGTTCTTATCTGACTTTAAAAGTACAAAGCACAAGGTTGTTATTCTGGATTTTATTCACTCTCAATTGAAAAACTGTTTTGTATCAACCTGCATTACCGTTCTGTAAAATTAGCATAATACTTACATTATATCAGTTCAGGTAATTTAGTATTATGCATTTTGAAAGTTTTGGACAAAATTCTCTGTAAGAGAAGCATGTATCACTTCAATCAATTGCATTTTGAGAACACTTCATGTTAGCAGTTCTTTAAACCTGGCTCTGTGAACTTAAGAAAAGAAGCCTTTAATCAACAAGACTAGGTAGATCACAACAATTAAAGCAGCTTTATACTGAGTGCTTGTTGTCCTACAGACCTGCTCTATGTGTCTTGTTCTGCTTCAGGCAAAAAATTTTCTAAAAGAGATGCCTCATTTACCAATTGGGGCATGGAAGATATGAATGCAAATTAAATTGGTTTTGATCTTTGGCTGTGAGACCTAAATAGAAAATGGAAACCGTCATTGCATTTTTAAAAATAGATTCACAGGTGTGTTTAAAAAGGGGGCAAATATAATTAAAGGCCAGTCCAAATTAAGGAGAGTTACATTATCAATACAACTTTAAATATAACTACCAAAATCTAAACTTTACTATTTAGAAAAGAGATGGAAGTTTGGGGAATCTGATTTGATTCTTTGAAGTTTAGGCTATGAGTGTGCTATCTGGAGAAGAACATTCTGTTTTGATCTCTTCAGTGAAAATACACTGTGTCATGAAAAAGATCCACTGTATACTGGGAGAAATTCTGTCATGTTTCCTGGATTATAAAATATATCAGTCTCAAAGATAAGAACTGTGGCTTCTGTTATAGGCAACATCTGAGACTGAGATAGGATTTTCCAAACTGCCACATAAAAATAAAATATAAAAATAAAAAAATATCAACTTACATAGCTTCTAGTTCTTTTTCTTTCAGCTGTTAGAAGTGTTACACAAGGAAAAGACTTGAATGTTTTAAAATAATAATATCTATTGCTTCATATGTAAGCTACTTCTATCTAAATGGAAAAGCAAACAAGTGACATCTTAAGAAAAGTATCTGCTCTTAAAGGAAATTAACAAAAGAAAATTCTAAATTTATATCAATTGCCAAAAAAATTCATTGAAGTTGTTGAATTGGTATTGTATATCAACTCACTGCTAACAAGATTTAATAAACAGCACTGTGAAAAACATCCATCCCCAAAATATTCTGTTTCAAATATGTTTTCAAATTTCATAATTAGCTATTACTGTGGATTTGAATAGTAGAATCACAGAGCTGACTCAGATACTGAATTTTGACACCAGATATTTAATCTACTAACATTTTTAATTCTTTTAAGAAAGTTGTGATTAACTTCAGAAAATATTTGCTTGAAAAAAATGTAGCGGTACAAAATAAAATATATTTGAAGTAAACACTTCATTATATACTTGCATTGAACAAATATTTAAACTGGAAGGTCTGCTGGAAAAGAGTGTATCCTAATCACAAGCAAAATTGTCAAGTTTATATACCATTAAAGGAGAAAACATCAGAACTACCAAGAAACGGAGACCATTTATGGGGTTGGGTATTTTTTCAAAATTGCTACTTCAGAGAATTGTACAATACATAGCTGGTAGACTAAATGACCACAAGTGAAATATATACCATTGAGGGAGGGAAGTCCTCTAGAAACCCTCTGGGAGTGGACAGGTATATTTAACTGAGAAGCAAACTGTCCATTCACTTTGCTGTTACTGTGAAGTTCCATGTCTTACAGCAAACTTCTAACTCAAGAGGCAACAGCCTAGCATGCTTTCAAATGGGAATATTTTGGATATTATGCATGTTTCCTTATTAAGGGAGCTGTACTGTACTAAGAGTTTTAAATGATCTGCTTTATTCCTACATAAGAATACTAGTACTTCCGTTTCTGTTAACCTCTGGATATCATTGACATTTTTCAAAATGTTGAAATGTACTTCACATACTGCATTAAAATTTTCTTCCTTTGATTCATGTGGGAGAATGGTCTGCAGTGGTGGTAGTACACAGAAAATAATTACCAGATTTTTAAAAGATAAACATATGTTTGAAATTGATGTATCCTTGGGGCAGGGACTGTCTCTAATTAAATGTTTATACAGTGCCTAATATAATCAAGCCAGAAGCTGGTAGACTGCTATGCATGCCACAGTCCAAATATTTAATAATAATAACAACAGTTCTGCAGTCAATTTGATCTTACTTTTGATATTTACAAGTGTTTTCCTAACGCACACTGCAGATTTCTGCAATTTGAAGGGCTTCGGGCTTAAATTCTGCAGTCTCTTTGATTCTACCATATCCATCATTTTAGCATTCAAAATCTTGATCCAAATGCTCTTTTGTTCTGTGTGTCAAATGGAGGATGGGATACCCCTGTTACTAAGTGCTACTAACAGTAGTTTCAGTATGCTGTTCATAATCATGCAGAGAGGCATGAAGGGAGGTTACTTACTAGCTGATTTTCAAGAGTTGTCTCTACACCTCCACATAACCAATGTGCTTTGCTTTTTCTTTAGAGCTCTAGCTCTGATTTTTAGCACACAGCAAACATTCAATTAAAAGCAGAAGCGGGTGGGGCACAGTTCATTTGCTTAAAGAGGTGGAAAAACTGACATTGCTCCTATGTGAGAATACTGAATTCCCTATGAAACAGCATTCCTGTGCACTGACAAAACTTAGTGCCAGAAATACTGACTCTTACTACTTAAGTGTGAAGAGGCAGTTCTTGAAGAAATTGTTGTTAAATCCTCTTCAAATTTCAGTGTGTTCTTTACAATATCTTTTTCCAAGTGCTTATAGTACATTGTGTTATGTTGAACCACGTATTTATATACTTCTGTGGTTATAAAATACATAGCACTGAATATGAGCTTATCTTTTACAGTTTTTGCCTTCCCAGTGAAATGATGTAAAAATATATGTAAGTGGGCAGAACACTGGAGAATTAGACCAATACATAATGGCATGCCAAATTTGACAACTGCCTCCAGGTGCATAATTTCAAAGGAGGTTTTATAACTAGAGGGATTTTGCAAAAAAAAAAAAAAAAAAAATATATATATATTGCAAGCATGACTCATTTTTAATTACAAAAGAGAATGCAAACTATTTGCTTTTAGTAAAATTAAAAGAGAAGAGAAACAAAAGGTATTTATGAAATGTCTTAGTGTCATAAGATTAGAAGCATGACACTGAAAACTAAGAGAAAAATCTAAGTAGTCAAGACAAAATCTTTTTTTTCTTTTAGAATGTTTGTCTTTTTAAAAGGCCTACAAGGTTTTTTTGTGGGTTTTTTTTTTCCCTATAAACATTTGCTTCATTGTACTGATTCTCAGAATAGTAGGAATTGTTAGCTGAATGAATAAAATTATCACGAAATAAATGAGTACAAACATACAAACACTGATTGTTGCACTAGAATATATCTGTTGTCAACCTTTGCAGGTTGTCTTGCAGTTGTACAGTTCCATTGGCCCCAAATGGTACTTACTGAACATTTATTTTTTATTTGTTTGGACCATGCCAGTATTACACAGGCAGCATGAAGGCATAATGAGCTGCATTCTTTGGGTTACTGAAGAGTCAGCACAAATTGTGGGAACAAATAACAGTCAGACAGGGCAGTGTTTTATAACATCAGGACTGCGATCCATCTTTGGTATCTTTCAAAGTTGGGCTAATAAAGGCCCACTTACAATCCCCAGCAGAGTAAAGTTTAATTAAATTTGTCCATTAAAGGACTCCTCCCCCTCCCTCTACATTTTAGAAATTAATTCTGCTTTCTGCCTGTTGTTCTTTCTACATCACAGATGCACTGAGCCTTCGTAACCGACAGGTCATCTGCATCACGCTGAAAGTCCTCCAGCACCTGGTGGTGTCAGCTGAAATGGTGGGGGAGGCCTTGGTGCCCTATTATCGGCAAATCCTCCCAGTCCTAAACATCTTTAAGAATATGAATGGTGAGTTATCCTAACAGACACTGTGTCTTTCAACTTCTAAGGTAAAAAGGGGCTAGAGGCAGGGTTAATTAACAATGTAGTTAAGATTTATTACTGTATATAAACTCAAATCCATTTGGACCTCTAAATAATGTAAACCCCCCCTCTTACTATTCCCTAAGGATGCACTGAAATTAACAATTTCATTTATTACTCCTTGCACGTACAGTTTATTTAACACAGTACAGGAGCACTGAAGCAGTTCTATAATCTTCCAATAATTAAATTGTAAAGTTTTGTAACAGTCTTTTGAATACATTAATAAATTGCCAAGGTTTCTTCCACCCTCCAATATATTAGTTCAGTCCAACCTTTTTATTCCATTCTATGCTCTTCACAAGCAATTCACTGCTACCACCAGGCTTAGGAAAGAATGAAAATAAAAGTAACAATCAAACTAATTTGAGGGTCAAGAGAACTCCTTGTAGAAAAAAATTCAAGTTACATAACATCAAGCAAAACAGTGAGGTTTGAAGTTATTACTGCTCACCTAGCAGGTTTTATAATAGAGAAATTTAGAACTAATTTATATCTACAGTTGAGTTTGTTTTCTTTGTAGTGTAAACCTTTACTGACAATTTCAGTCTTTAATAACTGGTGCTGTGAGTACTGTATACTGTGCATGCATTTATACTACAGTCACTACCTGAAATAAACATGATGTATCTCATTTTTGCCCAAATACTCTTTAAAATATTTTTCTGTAGTAAATCTATCTGTACTTATCTGTTCAATTATCTAGCAAGTTACTGACTTTAAAGTTTCTGTTATTGACATGCAGACATGCAGATCAAAAGAATTTATTTCCTCACAATCCTGCAAAAGAGGTTTTTCATTAAATTTGTGGCATTTTAATAGCTATCTACAGGACTGCTTCCTATTATACTTTTTGATTGCATTACTACAGAATGTATTATCTTATACTCAATCTTCAGTAAGTATAAGATTCACCTCAGATTGAAAAATGCCCACCCAAAGACTGACTTGGAGACTCAAATAAGATTTAGATTTCAGATCCCTTTAAATACTGTAATTGTTTCACTTAGTGAGAAACTTGCAGTAACATATGGAATTCCACAAATGTAATGTGGTTCATATGACAAATATGGCTTTCTAGAAGTTGTGGGATGAAAGGTTATGAATAAAATCCATAGTTTGAATTTAAGTAATTTCAGTAGGGCTCTTTATGAATTAGAAGATTCTCCCTCAACAGATCTGATTTCAGTATCTGGCACAAAACAAGACTTTCAAAAGGACTCATTGATTAATGAATATACAATACATGCTTTTTTCCAAATTTCAGCCTGAAGTAGCCCATAAATTCTCTTGACTAGGCTTTTCTGCAGTGATTTCAGATGAATAATAGGGAAATCTCATGTGTAACCAGGTACATAGCTTAACAAGGCAATAAACACATTCTAAATATATCCTAAGTTTTTATTTTATTGTGAGCAAAATAAAACATATTTTCAGCATATTTACATGACAACTGCCCTATGTGAATTCGTACCTATATCAAAACTAAATTTGATATTTGGCATTGAAGAACTAAATAGCAAAAAGAAATCAGTAGTTGAAAATTAATACATTTTATTAACGTATTACTTTTTTAGGAAGAAAGGTTTTGAAAGTTCAGTATTACAGTAATGATATGGATACTGTCTGCAAGGCCTGCTATATGAAGCTGTTCAACTTATTCAGTACTTGCATGAGGGTGATAGGGAAAGATTCTTCCTCTGTCTCCCTCTGCCTCAGAAAACTTATATTTCTTTCCTCCTTCGCTGGTAGTTGACAGAAAATGTATGCTTCCTTCCTTCCCCTTTCTATATATCTCCCATATACTTACTAGCCAACTGAGGTACAGGTCTTTGCTCCCAGGTTGAAAGAAGTTGTAGGGACTGATCCAGGCGTTTTTCTCCACTGCTTGTTCATACAGGTAGAAGATGGAGTGAGGGGAGTGTACAGTCTTTTTCCTTCTGTTATGTATAGCTTGAGAAAAGAGGAACTGTTGTACCTTTTCCAGGAGTTGTGTGAATTGCGGTCTATTCAGTCTGACACTGAGGAATTTTGTCCAGAATTAAGGTAGCTGGAAAGAGTCATGTTTTAGCCATTGCCATCTCAATAAATTAGTATCTATCTGTTGAAATAAACTCTTTCCCAAATTCAGTGTCTGCGAATACTGTTCTCACACTAAACAAGTTTATAGACAAGAGAGCATTTGAAAAAATAAAGAATTATTAATAAGACATAAGGTCAACTTATTTAAGATCAAGTTACCTGATGTCCAGTTCAGAGCAAAACAGGGTGATTCTTCATGCAGTGTGTGTGATGTGAAGCTCTGGAACTCCTAACCCAAAATTCTTTGGATACCAGAAGTTTACATGGGTTCAGTGGAGTCTTAAAAATGTCATTATAAAGAATCTGTTGCTTGTTTAGTAACACACATGGGTCATCTCTGGCTCATGGCATTCCTAAACCACAACATGGTGGAAGCTGAGAAAGTATTAGGCAAAGTAGCATAAATGCTTGTCCTATGTTCACACTGCATAGTCATCTACCTTTGAGAGACACAATTCTGGACTAGGCAGGAATTTGCTATTATTTAAAACATCCATCCTTATGTTCTTCCTACACTGGTTCTTATCAGACTTGCAGAAAATACTCAATTCCCATTGACTTTAAAAATGTTCTAGAATATAGGCTCCTCAGAAATTTTATTCAATACTACATACTTCTGACTTGTCTGAATCATGATCCACCTCACAATATTAGGCTTATAAATAAAAGAATAAAAAACTTGCATTAGTAAGATCTTAAGGTTAAGATATCAGAAACAGGTATTTAATAAAATTAATATAGAATGTAGTTTTAGCTTGAGTTGTTCTTCAGCCAAAAAAATTGGTAAATCTTTGCTCTGAGTTCCCAGTGTTACCTGAGCTCAGAATATAACAATAGTTTGAGAAGCTCTCAGTTCTGTCTCACTTAAGTCTAAACAATTCTTTCCAAATTCCCATTTGCTTCTCAACACTGAGGCTACAGTTTCACAGTCAGCAACAGTATTGTTTAGTTGCCATTGCCTTCAAGGGGCATTCTATGATAAAAAAAGGAGGTAACCTTGATGACTGTCCCTGTAGGCAGCTATTTAGTGCATCTGACTGTGGTTCCCACTGCAGATTTTTACTGGATTAGTCAGAGAGGCTCTGAACTATGTAAATCCTCTTTTCTGGGATCTGATGTCTTTCGTGCTTAAAGAAGCTATCTCCTTGCTCCTATTCAGCCTGCTGGCAAACTGCTTCTTAACTAGCCGCATGTGCTCCTTTCTGCACAGTTATTAATGCATTCTTTTTAATTATATACAGAATATTGATTATTCACATAAGCACAGTTTCTCATATGTTCCTTTGCTTTTCCATTGTACTTTTGACATTTTCAGTTTCTGCTACTTCCATCTGTTACCTCCAAATCACCCTGTCATTCTTTTGTAAACATATCCCTTTTTGTAAATTATCAGGTTCTGATTCTGATGTCTTTTCCTATCTTATGATGTCTTCCGAACATGCTTGTCTCCATAATATGTCTTCATAATGATTATGTTGTCTTGATAACTGTATAATACCAGCAAAAATGGTGAAAAACTTCTGACCTTTTGGGACAGAAGATAACATAGATATTTAATTTTAAAATTTTAGCACCCATTATAGAAATCTTTATTAAAATATTTTTGGTCAGTACTTCACAAAGTGTCTGTTGACTTCTTCTGCGTAATGTCTTTTAGAGAGGTACATTTTTCTTTTAGTTTCATATATCAAAGAAATAATTTTGATTTTTCTTTTTTTCTGAATTCTCTGGAACTTTATGGTAGTCTGTGAGAACACACAGTATAAATGGAATTCCTGTTAACCAACAAATTAAGGTATACCAAATATATTTTATCTTTAGAGTTTGTGGGCCACAAAATAGACATAGTTCAGGTGATTTCCAGGCATATGTTCTGTAATTTGGATCTCTGGAATTACAGAAATGGAGAAGAAGGCCTATTAGTTGGATATGGGCAAATCCTGCCATTTTCTATCCATTTGTAAGGGTGACTTTTCTATTGGTAATTTTTGTAAATAAAAGAATAGTGGAGTATTGGTGAAAAATAAATTAAAAGTTTTAATTATTGAAAACATCTAAAGCATGCTCGCACATCTGAGTCATAAGATACAGGTAAAAATATATCAATAAGCCCTAATTTACAAGCACCAGGGCAAAGATCCAAGCCTCCTAAGACAGTCTGTCTGAAAGCCGGAGGGGAGGACTCAATGAACTTCTGAAGAGTCTCAGTAGTGAGCAAGGGGCTTTTTGGTGCACAAAGCATACTTGGTGTCTATGAATTTGTACCCTCTCTGGCACTTAAGGCCCTGACTTGCAGTAGATATTTCTTTCCACTTGGGTTTCCGACTGCTCTGTTGCAGACCATCAGGACATAAAAGAGCAAAGTTCTGTTGTTGTTGATGCTACCATTAGTGTCTTTTTATTGATGGAGACAGTGAGAGCATCCTCACCAACTGGCCATGGTGTGCTCTGAAAACAGGTTGAAACTTTCTCTTGAAACTGTTGGCCAGAGCCACAAGGGTGGCAAGAGAGCAAGAGAAGGGAACATGAATTCATCCCAGGGATTGGGGAATACTCCTGAGATGTAGGATCTGTTTATCTAATCTCTGCAGACTGAGAGTTGACAGCAAGCTGTCTCTAAGAAAGCTCCCCAACATATGGATTATTATGAAAATGTGCTACTATATCATATAAGAAACAAAAAAGTTATGATAATGCTTACCAAGTCTATTATGAACTCTGTAATGCCACTGCAGTTTTCATTTAAATGTGTAAGTTAAATGTACTCTTATGAAAATCATTTCAATCTTGTGAAGAGGGAAAGAAAAATATGTATATATTCAAATGGAAATAATTTTTTTTAT